CGCGCGCAGCGTCTCAGAGAGTCTCAGCCGTCGGCTTGTGGGCGCGCGTGTTCTCTACTTTCTTCTTCTCGCCTCCAAGGAAAATACCGTAGAGATCACAGAAAGGGGGGCGGGGCGGGGCGGTGCGGGTGAGGCATCACAATCGCATATTTTTGTAAAGGATAACAGCATTGTTTCGGGGTTAGAGAGAGAAGTTGAGTGAGGTGGCATGAATTAGTATGCCTAGTTGGAAAAAGAGCGAAGAATTTGGTTCAAAAGTTCTCTTGGGAGACTTGGGTGGGGTATTCTAGCCTCTTGGGTCGCTTTTGGGCTTTTTGGGGCCGCAAAAGAGTGCTGGTTTGGCGTTTGAAGAGCTACCGTTTGTAGCTTGCCTTGGGTTCAGTTTGTGCTGGGTTTATTTTTTTTGAAACGTACGTTTGAAGAGGCATGTAATGTAAGCTCTTCAAAGCAAGGCAGTAGGGAGGAGTGTTGCCGAACTTGGCTGATGTCAAAAAGGTAAGCAGGGTGGTCTCGATTTGTATTTCTATGGGAGAAGTTCGGGAATGTAAGTGAGAGTGAGAAGCCAAAAAAAAAAAAAAAAGAAAGTCTGGAAGAAGGCAGTCATAATACACCTATATACTGTTGCCAGGAGAACTACACGGGTGTGTCCACAAAGTCAACAGGAGTCAAACACTGCTTGAAGGAGATTTCTTTCCTTAACTAAGTATGTAAAGGCTTGGCTTCCCCCCATTAAAATGTGGCTTGCTGATTTGTGGCTTAGGGTTTTGTTTAAACCCTGATTTGTAATGCATAGATATGTTCTGTGAACCCAACCAATTGTGAACTATTCAGTAATTAAACCACACTTTAATTGGCAGTGTAAACACAGACAAGCTATTTATCATTTATTATTAGATTTGAAATACAAACAGAACAGAAAATGTGACACCATTCTGGTGCTTGCAGATAAATCTTCTAAAGTGAATTAATGCTATCAGTCACACAGGAAAATCACCACAGAAAGCAGGTCATAAGTCAAAGGCAGCATCAAACTAGTAGATTGACCAGGAACCAACCTTGGTACAGCATGTATACAGATCATAGCACTTAAGGTATCCCTTGATAGCCAGCAAACACAGATCTATAATGTCTTGGTGAGTCAAGCCCAGCACACGAAGTCCACAACCTGAAGAATCAAAAAAGAGACCACGATTAGAGATAACCACAAGTTTAACAGTGATTGGGGTTGTATACCATGCTAAGATGTCATTCATACAGGCAGGCAGTCCATATTTTGCGATTTTCAAATCCCAAGTTTCTTGCAACCTAAATCCCGCAACTACTGAGATGTTGAGAACCCAGAACTGGTTGATTCTCTCAACAAGGTTGGGTTTGATGAAAGAGGAGCCAGATAGTATAATTGGCTCAACCCAAATAGACTTACATTGTTGTATACGGTTATGCCAGGTGCACCTGGCATTGTGAGTAACCCCACAGACCTGTAAAATGTGTAGCATTTCAGGGGCCCTACAGACGCCTCTACATGTTTTATCTGTTACTTGCAAATTCAAGCCCCATGTTCTTGTTGATTTTGTAGGCAGCAAACCACCTTTTAGCTGGATCCCATGTAAAAAAAAAGGCACGGAAAAACTCTAGTTGCATTTAACAACCACTCGTGGCTGGCCGGATCGACAGCAGGAGCATCCCATTCTCGGCCATCAACAGATTGTAATAACGCCTTCTTCCATTCAACTTGTACTTCTTGCTTAGTAGTAACTACAACAGAATTGATATTAAAAGGCTTATTAACTATATTTCCAAGGACACAAAAGGCATCCTGTTGTTTGATGGTTCAAAAATTGCATTAGATTGCGAGGCAATTTTAGCAAAATGAGCTTTCTGCAAGAGCGGAATCATCATTGAGAAACAGGGATGCCAATGACCTTCTTTAATAGTATTTATAGTAGTTATGAAAATATCCAAGAGGAGTATTGCTAGGCAACCATAGCCATTGCCAAATGTAAAATGAACCAAATTGTTCAATTCGCCAAACATAAGAATGAACCAAATAGTTCAATTTTCTCAAGGTGTTAAGGTGAGAGTGTCCTAGCACTAATTCATATGTTAATTTAGGGACCAGGTAGATTTTAAGCAACTGTAGCCATTGATCGGGTTTAAGGGGAGCTTTCGAAATTTCCTGAAGTATGTTGTCTAACTTACAGTATGTTTTGGTATTAAACGGCATTTTCATGTAAATTGAAGACCCAGATATTTAGTAGATTCTTCTGGTCCTAGGGGCCGAATAGATGTACTCATATAAGAGTAATATGTCAGTGATAGGGCCATGGACTTCCCCTTCCCATCCTTAACTATGGTAAGACCTAGGGATTTCTTTGGATTCAGAGAAATCCCAGCAGAGTGAAGGGCTCTACTCAAAGTCTAACTGCTCCTGCACTTCATATCCGAGGTAGGCAGGTGAAGCACTAGGGGGTCTTTGCTCAAGGACCTCTACTGGTAAGGTAGATACCAGCCAGGATTCAAACCCCAGTCTTCTGCATCAAAGGGTGGCGTTCTAACCACTATGCTATCCAACCCCTGGTATATATGGTGTACCAAAAGCCAGACCCTGTAAACAATTTTATTTATTTACAGCAAAAAAGTATTTAGTCAGCCACCAATTGTGCAAGTTCTCCCACTTAAAAAGATGAGAGAGGCCTGTAATTTTCATCATAGGTATACCTCAACTATTACTTATTTTCCACCATGATTTGCAAATAAATTCTTTAAAAATCAGACAATGTGATTTTAAGACACCTGTCCACAACCTCAAACAGTCACACTCCAAACTCCACTATGGCCAAGACCAAAGAGCTGTCGAAGGACACCAGAAACAAAATTGTAGACCTGCACCAGGCTGGGAAGACTGAATCTGCAATAGGCAAGCAGCTTGGTGTGAAGAAATCAACTGTAAATCACATTGTCTGATTTTTAAAGAATTTATTTGCAAATCATGGTGGAAAATAAGTATTTGGTCACCTACAAACAAGCAAGATGTCTGGCTCTCACAGACCTGTAACTACTTCTTTAAGAGGCTCCTCTGTAAGACACCTGTCCACAACCTCAAACAGTCACACTCCAAACTCCACTATGGCCAAGACCAAAGAGCTGTCGAAGGACACCAGAAACAAAATTGTAGACCTGCACCAGGCTGGGAAGACTGAATCTGCAATAGGCAAGCAGCTTGGTGTGAAGAAATCAACTGTAAATCACATTGTCTGATTTTTAAAGAATTTATTTGCAAATCATGGTGGAAAATAAGTATTTGGTCACCTACAAACAAGCAAGATGTCTGGCTCTCACAGACCTGTAACTACTTCTTTAAGAGGCTCCTCTGTTAGTTGAGGTATACCTATGATGAAAATTACAGGCCTCTCTCATCTTTTTAAGTGGGAGAACTTGCACAATTGGTGGCTGACTAAATACTTTTTTGCACCACTGTATTTATTTAGCTATTTATGTATTTATTTTCTATAGCCATCCATCTCAACCAAGTGACTCTAGGCAGCGAACAATGCTTGAATGTTTGAATTGGTTTCTATTTTCTTTC